GGGGGGGGGGCGGGATAAGAAAGGCAAATTAACATTTGATATTTAAATATTCAATCAGGCTCTTCTGCAAAAAGCATGACATCAATAACATTAAATGTTGTATCAAAGGTTCCTAGCTACTTATTACAAGATAAGGTATTCCAGGAATGGAAAAGCATGAGAAAAACTGAAAGGCTGTCCTGCTCTATCTACTGCTAATCTTACCACAGCGCTGAACACAGAAAATATAAATTATGTATTTAATTGGATTTAGCATTAATACACAGCTTCTTACATTGAGTTCTCCCAATTCCATACACTGCACTAAGAATGTCAATGTCAAGGTGCCTGTTTCAACCACACTTACCTTGAGTCCATCTTCAGGAAAATCTCTTAGCACCCAGACAGAGTAGGAAAACACCAAGTGCAAGTTCTCTGTGCCTGGAATACAAAAAGTAGCAGTGCTCAATGTTAAAATCCTAAAGATCTATCTGCTCACAACACAAGCAGATGCTTTCAGAGCCAGCAAAACTTAATTTACAGGAAGAATCCAGTTTGGTTTTTCCCCCCTGCTTAAGGAAATCACACATTCCAGGCTAAAGCCACAATTTCTGTACTTTGCAAACATGATTTTAAAAAAGAACAAGAATAAACTCAAATACTAAGTGCCACCAAACGTAAACAATTCAGACCAAAACCAAACTTGGTTGTCTTAATCACATTCCAAAAGTCTTCCCTTACAATTTGTTTTTATTAGGGTAGAAAAAGACTGTACTTTCACTTGTGTAATTTCCTTCAGTCCATTTCCAGCCTGCCAGTCTAACGACTTCTATAGCAAAGGGTCAAATACTTCATAACAAGTAGTAAAGCATCATAGTCCTGAAGTAATTGGCATAGAAACTACATGACAGGTAATAACTTCAGCTTTTAGGAAAATTCAGGACCTGACTCTTTAAAAGAATACTTTCAGTTGACAAAGTTCATGAAGTTTACAAAACATGTTAAGAAAACATGACTCCCCCCCCACCTTCCTGATGAGAACCCACTGAGGCATTCACTGCCCAAACAACGCAACAACACAACTATACAAGAAACAGAAACCTACACCAACCCTAAAAAAAGGCAGCCATTGTTTGCTTTTCTTCATCCCACAACATCATCAGGAGTAAGTTACTTTTTAAATATTTAAAACAAGCAGCATCTTCACAGTAGCAGTATTTTCAAAACCAGAAGATGAGTGCTATGAAATAAAACAATTAAAATACAGCCAATTTCCAAGTTTCAGAAACAAAACAGTGACTTGCTAAATGGCACTAAGGTCACGGGTCTGAATTTTGCTGAACTTCAATTAACTTTCTGAATTAACAGGGCATTGTATGGTAATGGGTTTGCTAGCATCACTGAGAAAATTTAAATATAGGACAGGACAAATCATGGGATTAAGTTCTCCTGTAGAACAAGAGACAGAGAAGAGAAAGTCTAACTCCTTATGAACAAGTATGAGATAATTAATCAAATAGCTCCTTTCCAAAGCACCGATCAAGTTGCCTTTGCTGAAATCATGACCAAATCAAACATGAAGTTACAACCTACTCAAAACATTCAAGATGGCAGAAGAAGAGGAGGAACTCATCGAGCAACTACCAAAGCCTATAGATCAGAATGCTAAAAGGCCACACATCACACAACAAAACAAAACAACTGGCTCCCTCAGCACATCACATTCAGCTGCACGGGGATTTACACTGAAGATCACAGGCAAGGATGTTTTGTGCTGCTAGAATTAAAGCAGACACTGAATTTCTAAACTTTCTCAGCAACAAATCCCTAATTTAAAGATGAGCCTTAACAGGAAGAAGTTCTGCATAACACTATTTTAACAGATAAGGAATACTGTAATACAGAACACTATCTACCACCCAAATACATCATTCTCCTGTGGCTAACTCTGCACAGATAAAGCCTATTTTTGATGGGCATGGCCAATCACAGAATTAACAATTAATATTTGCTGTGATACAGTAAACAATAAATGCTTACTCTGTTGATACATGGCAAGTATCAAACCCAAATTAGCAATACATACTTGATGACTTCAGACTGCACCTACAAGCCTGGAAAAAGTTTTCTATAATTACCTGAGAACTATTTAAGAACATTGCATTAAATGCCCAAAAACCTATAGACAAGAGATGACCAAAGAAGAGTTTCTACTTCACTCAGAATGTAAGTGAAAGCAACTAAAAATACATCCCACATAATTAAAATTTAAAAAAATAATTAAAAAAAATCAATTATTACTTAGATTAGAAGTTCATAACTACAGAAGCCTCACCAAAGGGGCAGCAGAGGGAAATATCTGTAGAAACCCCATAGTCTGAAATGCTTTTATCATCTTACTTAAGGGACTCCCAGAAATGACACTTACCAATTAATCAAGGCAGAAGCGGTAGTGCAGTTAAAAACACACACACAGAGTATTACATTTCTGCTGTTTACTGGAGGGGGTGGGAAAGCTGCAAGTGACCCTATCCTAAAACATTCCATTTATTAGCAATAGCTAACTTTCTAGATTGTTTCCACTGTATTTCATTACTCTGAAGTGAAGAGACCCAAATATTCTTTATCGGTTTTAAAGAGCTGTGCAAGAAGCATACAGGAAAACTGATTCTCAGGAGGACCTGAAACACCAGAGAAGCTCCAGAAGACTAAAAGAAATTTAGCAAGCTGCCAAGATTTTAGAAAAGTATTCTAGACAACTTGGATAATTATAGGTCTTAAACATCATCAATCCCAGGTAAAACAAATGAACAGCTGACATAGGTCAATCGAGATTAATTTATCAAGATAACAGAACTATTTTTTAAATAAGATTAGAAGTTTGTTTTGTAAAGCTGTATGCTGAATATAACATACCTACACTTCTCTAAGATGAGTGGCATTACCAGATGACACCAATGAATAAGTGTAAGAGAGACATCGCACAAACAGGAAAGGTCTCAATGTCATTGTAAGCAATGGATTATCGTTGAACAAACATGTTGCTAACAGAAGCCAGCAGGAGTTCTTAAAAGAAGTAATTATAGGAAAAAAGTATCAAACTTTGACAACAGTGTAAGACTAGGAGATGAACAAAGGTATTGCCCTTATAAACTACTCACTACCAAAATAGTAGTGTGATACATTTAAAAAGAGTTGTGCATTTAGAAATAAATAATATTACTGGATGGGAGAGGACTATTCTCAAAAGTAGAAAAACCAAAAAAGGACTTGGGAGTTCACAACGAACAGCCAACCAAGCAAGTTTCTACCATGATGCTGTGACCAGCACCTGCAACTGTTAGGTCATAACCTAGATCTACCTATACACAGAAAACAAAAACTTAATCTAGGATTCTTCATCTCGGGAAAGATGCTACAAGACCCAGAAACTGGATTTTAGACTTTCAGCTGAAAAGCCTAACCCAGAAGTTAGACTCCCATTTTGTCAGTTATGGTAAATCATCACTGGAAGAAAATTCAAAATACTATGGCATATTTTCTACCAATGGAAATTTTTATCAGAAATAAGGAATGTTTTCCAATAAGATAGTCAAGTTTCAACAAGATGTTCATGAACTAATCCTCAAAGTTTGCATTATGCAAGAAACCAGACAAGATGACAAAGATACCCTTTAGCCTGGTAAGTCTCTAGCAAGTTGCTGAACAGTAGAATAACCGCTAAGCCCAACAAGAGTAACACCTTCACAAAAACAACGCTCTCCTTCACACTCACCCAAATGCTGCAGATATTGCACTGTCCTCTCGTGACCCTTCAAAGGTGAGTTGGCTTTCTTTGACTGATCCACCAGTACCTGTAATGCTTTCAGAAAAACAAAAAGGTTCATTCCTTTGTAACCACAAATACCACTCCAACTTGAGCCACAAAAAAGTGCATTTTCTCCTGTTCTGCTACTGGAGGCAAAACAAAGTTTTGTTTTAAACACACAGGCCAAACGGGTAACAGGAACAAAGACCGATTTAATCACAAGACAGACCCAGAAACTCTCAGAATATTGCCTGCTCACTGAAGACAAGTTAAAACTCAATACTAGGAATACATGCTCCTATCCCTTCTCCTCTCCCCACCCCAACCTCACACCTACCTTTCTCATGCAGACCTTTCTTCTCATACAGTATTATCAGCTCACTATATTTGTGTGCCTTCTTTAGTACATGCTCGCTCTCCTCAATATGGCAGTGATTGTTCTCCAGACGTAGCAATGGTGCCACCAGTGCTACATTTGTCTGTAAGCGAAAAGGGAGCACCTTAAACACATGCACCTCCTAAGCTTATAGTACAAAACATGAGTTGGTACAGAGGAGGAAAAAAAAAAAAGTCTTAGAGCATAAGAAGTGACAGTTTAACATCTTAGATCAAGGCCCATCTTCATCTCCCTAATTTGTTGGGACAGAAAGAAAACAGTATATCAGATTTATTCCCGCCCTTCCAGAATAGAGGTCAGCTTTCAAAAACATCATTGACAGCAAAGATCGTACTCGCCTGCATTTAACAGTACAAGGCAACACGAGAAGCATTCATTAGAACTTCAATATACACAGGCAAGGCCATATTCTTTTGACAGAGGCAGCGACCAGAAACAGACACATCTGCTTTTTTCCATGAAGCTACTTCCTGACCAGTGAGCAAACTAGCTAACACTGAAGTTTCACAGATCATTTTTAGACCAAAGACAGACAGTTGTGTGAGAATTTCTGAAGTAGCTCCTTATCCTCCTTCTCAAACATTTCAGCCTGAAATTCCAGCAGAGCTTGCACGGTAGAAGAAAGGCCTCTAGGTTAGGCAGAAACTCACATGGAGGTAACACTTTAACAGGGTGGTATCAATGATTTGTAGCAGCTTCTTTTTGGATTTGATTGTGGGTGTTCCTTCCATGAGTGGTGAGGTACTGGACTGATGGTCAGAATCATTTAGCTTCTTCACCAGCTGACTTCTTTTCTGCAGGACATTAAATGAAATTTTAACAGGAAAAGGCCATGGATTTCTCCATCCCACCTCAGAAAACATAACCCACCAAGTAAAAAGACTAAATTAAACCAATTTAATAACTCATTTTATCAACTGTTTCCTAAAGAATTTTTATTGTTACTAACTATTCAACACATCACCTTTCGAACCACATTCAGGTGCATACATTTGTTTTGCAAATTTATAGTTTTGCAAGATGTCCAGAGTCTTGAGAAAATAGTCAGAAGGAAACTCAGTTAACCTGAACAGAGACATTTTAGAAGTCAGGAGACATTTAAAACATTTGGAGAAGGTTTTGAACTACTAGGCACAAAAAAAATTTATCCTCCTTCAGACACAAGCTTCCTTTTAATCTAGTAAGAATGGCAACAGAACAATTCAGATTCCAGTTACAACAAAATAAAGAAGACAGGAAGTTACACTACCCATTACCTCCTGTTCAACCTTCTAATGCATGCTTTTGATGCGTCTCCTGGATAGAGTGCCCTCCACAATAGTCATGAAACAAAAGCAAAAGATCAAGAGCTCAAGCCCTCTTCAGAAGGCTACTCGAAATAAAATACTGGACTCATGGTTCAGATCTGGTCCATGAGTAAGTTTTGTACAGTCCTCACAAAAGTCACATGTGATGCCTCCCACATATCTGTGGGGCACCTCACATCTTCCAGTTCCCCTGCTTTCTCATAGTTTCCAACCATGAAGACAGCCCATTAACGCTAGCATAACAGAGCTGGAGTAGGCATACTGCTTCCTGCACATCACAGTTAACCTACAGAATATGCTAAAACTGAATAACCCTGCTCTAAAAACAGATATAGGAGCACTCACTTGAGTTAGGTAGTCTATCAGAGCTAAATGTGCCTTCTCCAGCTCTGCCCCAGAGAGCCCTGGCAGGGGGTTGGGATACTGTAGCTGTTTCCTGTAATCTGTGGGCAGGAGGTCAGGATACAGACCCATCACGTGAGTGGGATCTAAGCAAAAAATAACTAGTATTAGTAACCATTCATAACATTATTTTTGCAAACTCTTAAATATATGTAACCTTTGAGCAACCCCTTTCCAAAAGAACTGTTGTAGTCAACTTGTATGTCCACAGGGTTCCAGGTAACAGAATTTGTTTATTACACAAAAGAAGCTAAAACAAGGCAAAAGAAACAAGAGAAAGACTGTTTCAATGTCCAAGCACAACAAGTTCCAACCTGTGCGCTTGGCACACCTGGAGGACAAGCCATTATTATAATCCTCTTACTGCTCTTCTTGCAGAATCCCAGCATTAACTCTGACAGTAGGACAAGATTTCTAGGAACAAGCAATGTTCTAAGAGAAGATTTACTGTGCTTTTAAAACAAGAAGTGAATAGCACCATCTGTAACTAATGAGCACCTGTTTTCATGGAGCTTAAGCAAATTCAAAATGACCGCCCTCCAATTTAAGTTCAAAGTATTTTGAGTTCTCAGTCGTTTTCTTTCATTGTAGTTTTCCAAAGTAAATATGAAGTTAAGTGTCATCAAAACAAGTTCTAGGTTTAAATGCACAAGGGATGTGCTGTCACCAATAAAAGAATCTCAGCCTTAAGCACTATTCTATGATACAGTCAGGTGTTCTTCCACTAATCCTAGTACAAACCAGAGGAATAGCATCAGAGGCTATTCTGACTTCCAAAACCACAGAAGTTTCCTGGCTTCAGTAGCTTGGTCCATTAAACAGGAAACAGGGTTAAAGGTCCTCAGTTTGGTCAGAGTCCAAGGATTTAGCAAATCTACAGGTGTTCCTTATTTTTCATTCCAAGCTAGCAGTGCACTTTTGGCAGTTGCTGAAACCCTCAACTTTAAGGGTCTGTGTACACGCTATGCACACTGTAAAATAGCCTACAATACAAATATATTCTGCACAAAGGGCAAATTCATGATTTAACTCACTGACTGAATTAAGTACTATAGCCAGTTTCACCAAAAAAAAAACCCTAAGGAGATGTCTAGGCTATTTGCCATTTACAGGGACCGGTCAGCACAAGACACCCGTTTTAAAACAAAAACAAAACAGAGAACAAAAAAACTCCCACACAATAGTCCATGAGCTTCACTTCATTCCTCCTAACCCAGGCACCTCAATGCCAACCCAAGCATTTACCTGTACCAAGCTTGGCAAAAACTTGCATGGATTCATCAAAGCGCTTCTGGCAGAAGAGGTTGAAGGCAAAGAGGTTCTTTATGTGGTGAATTTGTTGTCGCTTCTCACTATCTGAATCATCTTTCATTTCCTACACACATATAAATTAACGAACATTTAAAAACTCTTGGGCCTCATAAATGATAATAAAACACCCTACAGAAATAACAGGAGTATTATGCTTTGGAGAGAGTAAGAAGAAGAAAAAGGATAATCTTCCAAAGTGAACACCACTGATGGTGATTCTTAGATCCTATGCTTATTGTGTCACTGAGATAACCTGGAGGGTTTGAAAGCTACCTCTGGTTATCTATATACTTGCTTTATCACAGCAACTCTCTCTTCACTCATTTGCCTTTTCAAAAATTTTTTTCAAGTGAGCAATACAAAATGCAATTAATTCATTTTAATGTAGTTCCAGGGAAGTTTCCAGAAGCCAGAAAATCCTAAAACAGTAATAGCAATATAACTAAACGTACTGCTTCAGCATCTCTAAGAAATTACTACGTTTCAGGAGGAATACGGAGGGCCATTACAAAAAAAATCCTGGTCATCTGACAGAACAAAACACACAACTCCAAGCAAAACTGTTTACAAGCAGTCTGAAGTCAGACATCCGCTGCAAACCCAAAGGTTTCTGAGTACTTACTGCCAACTGCAAAGCCAACTCAAACTGCTTGTCCTGCAGAAGCTGCTGGATCTGTGTGGCTATGGACACCGGAATGAGCCGCCAAACAAAGTGATTACTTGCCACATATATAATATTTGTGCTGTAAACAAGACAAAAAGGTCAGTTACTAAGTTCCAGCACTGAGGAAGGAGCAATACCCTAACCAAAAAAAACCAGTCCCGGTTAATACACACATGGATCAATCAAATACAAGGGTAACTTAAGCAATATTGCAAAGCAGAAAGAAGAAGAATTTATTTCCAGTGATCAGAAATTCCCAAAGATACTCAACTCTGTCATTTACTCCTCAAGGTATGGCCTCCACCCGCCTGTTCATAAAAAACAATGGACTGCTTCAATGCTACTTTTTAAGCTGAGCGAGTTAGAAAAGCTCTTCCTCTCCCAGTTTTTCAGAGTGCTACCATACACTCAGACAGGCCAACAAAAGTAATAATCAGTTATACTCAATACCCTCCAGACGTGATGAAGCGTGGTCTCTGCAGCTCGATACTCTGTACCAGCAGCCGGGGTTCAAAAGTGCGGATCTCCACATACCTTGGCAGAACAGCAATGATATAGGGAGGCTGGTGTTCTATTAGTGACACAAGTGAAAAATAAGTTGATTGTTCTCAAGTATGCCTCGAAACAAGCCATGACTTAAAGTAAGGCTTCTCTTCAATTCCCACCCCCGACCCCACCTTGAAATGTGTCCCTTTTTTGCTTATTAAAAACAAAACTCAACGCCCAACACTGACAGCAATTTTCTAATAGGCTACTACCAGGCTTTTTGTTCATCTTTCAACATAAGGAATTTCTGTGGCACTCAGGTGCCCAGAAGAACTACAGTGCTTTAACACACTACATTCCATTTCAAATCTTGTCCTTTTATAAAAGATATGCAATATGCCTATTTTCTGAGGAGGAGACAGGCATACAGACTAGAAGCAAAAACGAGGAAGAAACAAAAATAAACACATGAAACCTTCCACACTCAGAGTACAACTTGAAATACTTTAGAAACTGTCACACTCCAAATCCAGCTAGTTTCTAAATACCGAGAACATAACGACTTTGTCATATACAAAGGAGTAAAAAAAGCAAATTTTTAAAAATTACTGCTAATTCTCACCCATGGCTATAGGAATATCTGTCCAATTCAAGGCACATTTCTGAGTACAGATCCCTTCTTCATTGAGCACAACCGTTAGATCATCTTGGCCAACCGCAACTTTTCCATCTGCTACAGGAGCTACCAATGGTTCCAGCTGCTTCCCTGTGGGAAACAGTTCTTTGATGGATCCTTTTCCATCCACCTAGGATAATAAAGAAAATTTAAAAAAATATGTTTTTCAAAATAACCTTAATTTCAAAGTTGCATAAGACCAAAGCCAAAAACCCCCTTGAGGAATTTACAACCCAGGCTAATCACTAACAGGACAAGTGCAATTTTAAAGAGTAGCAATAACATTTTCTGCATATCATCATTTATCTTGCTTATACATCATTTGGAAATAAAGAATTAATACTTTTGTGTTGGAGATGATGTATTCCTGTTACTATAACAGCAGCTGAGCAAATAGTTCATACCGGTTTATAAAACGCATAGCACAGTAGCAATATCAGTTAAAGTGTCCAAACACTTCTTAGTGTAACCAGAGGATTTCATTTAGGCCAAAACTTTAACACAGTTTTATTCTGGCATCAGTGAGCATTGCCACATAAAAAACAAACTAGAAGCCAAGCAACCTGCCTAGCCTTTTTCCCTGCCGTAGCCACTCATTCTTGTGGCCACATGCTGTCCAGAGAACTGAACCCACCCCGCCAAAAAAAAAAAAAAAAAACCCCCAAAAACATTCTCGGTACATTTGAATCAATGATTTGGTAAACAAAATAATGCAGCTTTCTTTTTCAGGTTAAATTACTTTTATTTTTTAATGCCTAACATTTCTAATTCCTGCTTCTTCCTTTCCCTGCCCAAAAAACGAACCCCCCCCCGCCAAAAAAAAAAAAAAAAAATCCACCAAAGAGCTGTTTCATGACCTGATCTCACAACTCACTGCCACCAAAACAGAGAAACCTTCAACTCCAGCTACATGTTCCTGCTGCTTCCCTTGCGTTACAGCTCAAGCATTCTTATAAATCAACAGCTAGCCAGCAAAAAACAATACCATAAAAACATGTGCATTTTTTCTGCCTATTTAGTGAAATGAAGCCATTCAAGGATGGGTCTGTCAAGCATCAGAGTCAACCCAAAGCAGACACTTGGACAGCAAGTCCCCACTCTGCTTGAGCAACTGCACAACTACTCATATCACTAGAAGGGCAGGAATCAACACTTAGGAGAGGGCTGCAAAAAGGCATCACTTCTTTTCTGAGCAGTGTCAGTTTGAAGTGACTGTAAAAATTACTGTGCAGTTTTCCTGTGCACTACAGATCACTGTTACCACCCACGTACGTACACATACGTACGTGTGGTGCACCTCTTCTTCACTTCATTTTCCTGTAATATCAGCAGAAGCCAATTGTACAGGGAAAAAAGAGAATCAAACATAGCTGTCAAATGAAGCGTAAGTGGACACTGTAATACTAAATTAGCAACAGTAAGTTTAGAGACTTTCAAATTGAAATGACTACAGTAGAATCAAAAAAAGAAAAAATGGTTAAGCTCCACTGTCTGCTAGATAAGAATATATTCTTGGTCTTTTTTCCCCTTTTAGAGCTATCTCCTTTCTTAATACGTTAAATAAAATGCAAACTGAGTTTACATAGACTGCTGCCAAACAAAACCATATTTTTTCTGATGTCTTTTTTCTGCAAGAGTTTCAAACACTGGTTTCAACAGCAATAAACAGATGATCACTTCCTGACAAAACACCAGTTTAAAAGGACAGACTTAGACTGCCCTTTCCAAAACCACATATAGCAAGAGTACCAGATGCTGTTTTTCATAAACGTTTGTTAGTTAAATCCCTGAGCACAGAAGCAAGCTCCATAATGTCTACTGCTACCCCAAATCTTCTTAAACACTGTATTCCAAACCCCAGTCTTACGCGTATCAGGTAATAGTCCCTCTTGAAGCCTACACAGATGGAGTTTTCACACCAGGCCATGGACTTGGGTACATCGGGTACACTGAAGTCCCCCTGAGGAAAACAGGTTAAAACAGCTGTTACAAGAGAAAAGCAGAAGTCCAAGCTGGCAACACAGAGTATAACAGGCAGTCCTGTAAACGGCTACATTCATGCACAGTAAAGAGGTGTGCTCTGAATTAGCTGGTAACTTCCTAGAAGAGCAGCCTAGCTGAAAAATTCTCTACCCATTTCCATTGGTTATTTTTACCATTCTGGTATTCACAAGTGCAGTTCTCTGTGGTTGTTGTCAGTAACTACGTTCTGACTTAACAACATACCTGCAAAACTTTGGGTAGAAGTGGACCAACTTCCATAGTGTTATTGTTAGGTATACATTTATAGAGGCTGCACGCTAATACATTTCACTGACTTACAAGTGTACTACAACCAGAATATTAAAATATAGAACACAGCCTTTGATTTCATTTATGAAACTGTATTAATGCCACTAATTGTGATTTCAACCATGCATTTTCACTTTTATTTGCTCCTTCATTGTTAAATCACTGCAGAACCAACAGGAGTCAGTGCTCTGAAAGTCAGGAGTGCCTCTGAGTAATAGGGACTGCATAGCAAGCAGTAAAGAGCAACTACACTCCCTGCCACGGCACACTAGACTACAGAAACAACAGAACTCACCTGTAGTTCATGGAACTCTCTGTCCTTCCAAAAATAAAGTTGTAGCTTCTTCCGCACTGCCACGCACATTCTCAGCACCTCTTCTCCTGTATCTGACTGCTGTGAAAATAGACAGGCCTAACTCATAGGCACTCATAAACTAAGAGGCAAGTAAGATAATACAAGGCGAAAAGAATCCTCAGCCTGAAGCAAAGCTGTCAGCTGAGGAGCAGCTTTGTTCTCCATGCCAGAAGGGCATTCCCTAAACAAGGAAGCACAGACAGAAGGGGGGCGGGATACTTAAAAATGAACTTTGGCAGGGATTGTGACACCAAGGAAATAAAAAAGAGCACCAAAGACACACACACACAAACAGAAGATAAGTAGAGAGCTATCAGCGTAGCCCTGAAGACTAGGATAAATAGCTTGAACTCAATGCAGTATAGGAGAGGGGAGGAAATGGAACAATGCAAAAAAGTGTGTTATACTGACAGATAAAAACATTAATAGCTGTTTAATATTCTAGCCTATTGTAAAAGTTTCCTGACAAGAAATACTAGCAAAGCAAGTGCCTGTACACACAAAACAATAAGGCACTTTGGAATGACCAGATTTAAAGGCGCTTTGAAAGACATCACTAGTTTTAACACCCAAAAAACCCTAAGTACTTACTAGAAAATATTTAATACTAAGCTCCCATGGGGTGAAGAGATAAAAAGTGATCAAGAGCACTAAGCCATCTCTTCTGGTTATGAATAAGGTTTCTGAATGATGTGGGCAGGCTGAGAAACTCACTTGGATAGAAATAAGTCACTTAATAAACCACAGCATATGAAGAGAGGATTGCTGTACCTTATGGAGCCATTTTATGGCCTGAATCTACCACAACTGCCATGAAACTCCTTGGGTCAATACAGTTTAACAGCAACAAAAATGTGACAAAAACAGTGACGGAAATGCTTGGTGAAGGGAACCACTATGAGCTAGTACCCTGGCATTTTAAGCAAAGGGAATAGCTTTTGTAGAGGACCTTTCAAAAAAAGGACAGTCAAAGTTAATACAGGATAAAAGTGCCTTGAAGTTTTGTATCAGGAGGTTAAAGGCTACAATCACAACAGGCACAGGAAGATATCTTACAAAGCACAGGAAGAAAAATAAGGTGACTACATTAAAATTTGTTGCCTTAAGCAAAGCTTCAACATCCAGTAGGTACTAATTTTAAAAAGCACTAGAACCCAAGCAACTTGCATGTAACACAAAATTAACAAAGCTAATCTATACAGCAACATAAAAAAAGTTAACCTTATTACAAACAGTAAGGACACCTGTGCCATTCTGTTCCTCCTCTTACCTGAAGATCACAAGTGAAGAGAGATGCACCTTTTGCCTTGGAAACCGTGGTGATTTGTTGAAATGTCAACAGGTCATGGACATAAATGTTATTTTCTGTTTTAAACAAAATTCCAATTATTATTCAATATTTAATACATGTAGAGCTCATTGCTAATTCAAATAAGCTATCTCATTTTATGTTTACATAAAAAGAGGAACCTGTGAAACTAAGAGCTGCAAGAAAGGAAAAAGAATATTTTCCCAAAAGCTGAAAAGTAAGTGCTAAGGCATATACCAATAGAAGACAATAAATGCAGAAAAGATGACACCACCAGTGTTGGTAAAATTACATGAAGGAACTGAGAACAACAGTTCCTAACCAAACGGAGGAAGTGGGAGTATAAGGGACAGCAAGCAGGCCAGAGCAGAGCAAGTTCACAATGGAAGACTGTATGAACATAGACCATTTTGAACTGGCTCCTGAAATTAGCGGAAAGTGAACGGTTGCAAATGGAGGGTGCTGTGGCCAAGTTTTTGTACGCACGAGGACGCAGGCAGCAGAAATCTATGCATGCTGGAGCCGGAAGAGCCGGGACTTGGAGATCATAAAGTGAGTAGCAACATAAGCAAAAAAGACATAGGAAGATCATAAGGTTAAACCAATACAGCCAGAGACAAGCAAACTTAGATCTTCCACAAGATGGTAAAAGATCACCATCTGCATATAAACTGAATTTGGTGTAACACATCAACAGTAAGTTTCATACATCAAATAAGTTTGGACAGAAGTTTTAGCCCCTATCATACAGTGCACACTCATACACACGCATGTATGAGTGTATCTGTATATACACGTGCCAATACAGACAAACTGTATATATATATATACACACACACACACTTCAGTGCACATATGTATTTTTTCATTTTTAATCACAAAACTTAGCGGTAATACTTTGTTCTCCAAGCTGGCTTACGACAAGCAAAGCTGCTTCTCAATCTATGCTGCATAATGCTTCCTCTGCAAAGTGAAAAAGCCTAAATCTTACACAATGACTTTTCAACAACTAGACTACTATGCAGGTGCGTGGACAGGGTGCCACATTCAGCCAAGTAACTGCATCAAGAAGAGCTCATTAAATATTAAAACATTTTCTTCACTTACCTAATAGACTGACCAGAATTTTAAACTGAGAAACAACATGAATCTGAAAGAAAGAATTCTATTAGTGACTCCATTCATAAACTAAACCTCTGAACAAGGCTCGATTATAGATAGTAAAAGAAAATGCATCTTAGATACTCTCAAAATAATGAAAACAGCAAGGCAGCTATCTATGCACAACCTTCCTCCAGCTATTGCAACCCCTTTCACTTACACCCAGTTTTTACAAGTTAGCACATACAGTTTGCAACCCAACCTGGTAAAAAAAAAGTTATAATAAGTGGTATGTGACTAGTATAGAAGTACTTCTAAAGGATATAGAGTGTGTTGCTCAAAGAGGCTACATAATCTTTGAGGTAAGTGCTTATATTGATGCTCAGGAAAGCAATGAGCCAAAGTTCTCAAAAAAAACCCCAAAAAAAATCAAACAAAAAAAAAACCCAAAATCCAAAAAACAGTAGTAAGACTGGCATTGATAATCAGTTAGTTTAGTTCTAAATTCCAAATAAGAGGAATTACATTCATGTTCCTATAGCATTTTATCAGAATCAAATTATATATTGCAGTCTGTTAGTGTTTTACCACCATTTTTACAAACATTTTCAGAGCAGCTGAAGATTTACTGTGAACAACAGCATTTCCGTAAAAGCCAAAAATAAACCTGTAAGTTCCAATTCTTTACTTTCTGCTTTTAACCAAACCAAGCTTATTCCTGTTATGGGAAGAGTAGGCAAAACCACCAGGCTGTGCCGCCTCTAGAAGAATCTATAGTTTTGAGGAAACTTTTTTGTTAAGCTTAGCAGAGATTCCAGAAGTACATTTGATATTCATTTCTTGGCTGAAAACACTGGAAAACTGTCCCATCCATTAAATGGTACTTCCTACCTGCTGAATCTTTTTTGAGAAGTTCTTGTTGGATTTCTCTAGTGTCACTTCAAACCTATTGCAACCTACCAAAAAGATTTGAGAGAGTATGTAAACTGAAGTTGCCCTTAAATTTATGGCTGAATATATCTTACTCTAAATAGATTACAAATAATTATGAAAGCAAACTTGGCCACTTAACACTAGAAGAATGACTTTCTAGCATACCTGTGCTATCTTTTACTTAATAGCTAAATGCATCAGAAGGTCTTCTACATAGTCAAGTGAAAATTTAAATTACACTTCTTGTGCCCATCTGAGGACTTCATCAATAGTTACATTTTTGCCTTGCTGGAATTTTAGGTTACAAGAATTATATTTAAGTATTTTGAAACCCAGACATACAGAGATACCCATAAAGACTTTATCCACACCAATCAAATATCAGCAACTTAAATGGCTAGGGAGTACATCACTGCAAAGTAGACAAGGAATAAACACTACACCACAAGGGTTTAAAAGGAGTTTTAGGGATAAAGACTTACAGACACTTTCTGATGACATAACCTCTCCTGGCATTGATGCAAAAAAGGGGGAGAAATTTACCACGTGAGATAAGACACTAGCAACTTGAGACTAGCATGTTCTGATTGGAATAGACGGTCTACAAGTTTCAGAAAAAGCAAGCTGAATTCAGTCTCTAGAATCCAAGTAGCTACAAATGAACATCTTTCCAAGAGCTGATGAACTTAGAAACAGATGTTTGGTTTTTTTCTTTCCTGTCCCACACTACATTACTGTGTTCAATAACATCAGTTTCTACATAATAGAAGATAATGCAAAATACAAATCTGTTTAGTGAAAATCGATTTTAACTAAACCAAAAATAGAATAGTTCTATTTGTGGCATCTCCAGAATAGACTATGAACACTTATGACTGTCAAAGAGGCAGGAAGAAGAGTAAATACATGACAGAACTAGTTAGGAGGAATCCATCTTCCCCATCCCTTGATGCTCATGGATGCACTGAATAAAGTTGCTCTTTCACTAATCCAGTCCTTCATTAACAGAAGACAAACATCGAACATCTGGCAACTAGTACATTGCACCGCTGTGCACACTGTATTCACAAAAATTACACCAACTTGCTATAAATTCAAACATATGGAGACCTGATACAAAACATACTTTAAAACAGAAAAAAGGCTGATACTACTTGCTATCTTTCTTGCACACCTGATAAATGGTATGTACACTTTCACCAAAGATCCCCCACAAATATTCATTAAACTACATAGGGAAAAAATCAGCAATTAAACATTCTTGTGTTAACATCACTACAACCTCTTAAAGCACAGGAAATAAAAATAATGTAATCAACTTTTTGTGTCATTCTTAAAATCAACTTACCTATGTCTTTCTTGATCCTGTAAAGCAGAAGATGCCCTTGTTTGGTACCAACAAGGAGCCACTCCTCTACAGAGACAGGGGAGAAAAAAAGTCTAATTAGTTTCAACGAAGACTGCCCTTCCCAGCCAAGATGCATTTATCAGAACACTTGGGAACTTGTTTCAAATGCCAAAGACGACTTTCTGTGCCAACTACACGCATGTCTCCTATCACCTCTCTGGTGGAAGTGCTCGGAAGTAGCTTTCATTCTCAGGAGAGGATGGTCAAAGATCAAGCAGTAAAACAGAGAGTACAGCCTAGACATCACATCCCACTTGTTTATACAAAGGTAAAGAAGCAAACCATTGCATCTTCTGTGCAATCAAAAGACGCAATAAACTATACTTCAGACATTACTATCTCCCAGAAAGGAACAGTGCTACAAAATGGGAAGAACTGGCAGGAAGAAAAACAAGGAGTTCTATGTGGGTTTGAGTTTGTTGTTTTTTTTTTTAAATAGGCAAGTTTTTATAAGAACTTTCTGAAATAGTCAGCTATGCTGGGAAGGACAGTGGAAGCTTTGCTTAAATGGCATTTGAATTGCTTGGACAACCAACAGTCATTTAAGATTTACAAGAGAGAACCTTTTTATACACAAACTCTGTGGCAGAGTTTCAGACTCTTCCTATTTACAGCATTCATAGCATACAAAAGGTACAGAATCTTTGTTGGGTCATGAAATATGACTGAAATTCTTCCTCCTTGCTGAAAATCATATAGGAAAGAAGCATACACAAGTATTTCTTTCTACATCTAGTACTCCCTCATTATCGAAGATCCAGGTATTTTAATAAAATCTTGTTTCCTGCAAGACCTTTTTTCCACCAGTGGAAAAGTTGTAGAGACAGAATTACACCTCTTTTTACACAACCATACTGTCACATGCCTGTGGGTTTGGGCTTTTTTCTACTTCAGCAAAATGCATGCTTTCAAAGAGGTAAAAGATAAAAGCCTCAACGCAGGAATAAATTATCTTCACATCTTCTCTACTATATAACTCTAGCATAAACAACCCATGTTTAAACGTGGCATTAATTAATTCAGGCTATAATTTTGTTCTTAAGACAGATTAAAGGGGTCAAAGATCCACAGTGTCTGAAGTTTTTTTAATTACCAATTTTGTGCTATGGCAGTACATCTGATGGAAACTGCTCAAGCAGTTTGAAAAGCTTTATCAAGCCTTATCATTATGACAGCTGGTGCAATCACCTGACCAAAATCTTGACTGTCAAGTATGCCCAAAAACGTAACTTACATTTATATACCATTAATGCACGCAAACAGACTCTAAACTTAAGACTTGAACATACCACCGGCTTTCAAAGATAAATTTTAGCCAAAACACAGGGAACAGTTTTTAGCAAGAAACTAGCCGACCCACGGTTCCAGCCCTGGGATTCACGGCAGCCTCCCCCCCAGCAGGGCTGCCGCCGGGCGACCGCCGGCCCCCCCCCGCTGCCGGGGCCGAAGCCAACGC